TCTGTGTCTGTTCAAGAGCTCTCTGAACAATACACAAGGTGACTGTGACATCATCACATCCTGAAACACATCTTGAATTTAGAGGAGCTCCAGTGCCATACTGAAGAACTTATAAGAATCGAATAAATTGCCTGAAAGAAATTTGTCTTCCAGTAGTCCCAGGTAGCCAGGGAGGTGACACTGAATGCTCAGTGGGACACAGCCTGCAGCAACAGAGGAGCCTGGAGCTGGGATTGGAAGGACTGAGGAGATAATGTGATTGGCTTGTTCCCAGGTCAGTGCCTCTGGGCACCAGTCAGAGCCTTGCTCTGTTCCTTCCTCCTCTCACTTCCACTTTCCTAAGTGCTGATGGCTGTTTGTGAGGCTCAAAACATAATGTTACATGAACTTTAGGTCTTAGGTATATCCACCAATTTCAGCTGATCCCTTTGCATCAGGTAGTGAACAGGCCACTGAGAAGGGAAGGGATGGTTACAGATCAAACTACACTGCATTGCTTCCTGTAGTCAGCTGCCTTCTTCTCCTTGGCTCTCCTTCACTGTCTACTGACAAATGAGAAAGAGACAATTTCTGAAAATGGTAGTAGGGAGCCAGAATTCTGATAATTCTGTGTAATTCTGATATTGACAACCATACATAGATCTCTGAACTACATCTGGGCAACAAATGCAAAATCTGAGGTTTCAAAGGAAAAACCATTGTGTAGGAGTGAATTTTTAAAAGAAAAATACAGACAAAGGAATGCAGAAACCATAAGTAAACTGAATCATGCATACAACAAGCACCCAGATGAGGAAGAGGACCACACCAGCTCTCAAGTTCCCCTTCTGCTGTGTTCTAGACATTTCACCTCAAGATACATATTCACTACTTGGTGATCCTTTATTAGTGAAGTACAATCTACTTTGAAAATGTTCAGAAAGTTACCATTTTGGATATTTGAGTATTTCTCCCTAATTGGTTCCTGTGTGATGGTGATAGTGGGGAAGAGACAGGGTATAACAATTACTCATTACTGCGTATTTACTCACTACTGCACATTCACTGTAATTACATCAAGAAGTTCCGGGGCTCAGCAATTTATGGAGTAGCAGGGAGAGAGCAGAGTGGCACCCCAGGGATAAAGAGGTACCAAAGGAACCCTTTTCTCATAGTGAAGCCAAGATTCATGATATTGACATTCTGACAATAGTGAGAGTTGGCCATGAGCACTGGGACTCAGGGAAGGATAAATAGGGTCTGGCTGGTGCTGCTCTGCTGGAATTTTCATCCTCAGCTGGGCTGCACAGACTGCACAGGTAAGTGTATCTGACTCTGTGGACTGGGCTGCTTTTTGCTTTGGAAGGAGAGATGCTAGAGGCAGGGCTGGTTAGAGGAAGGTAGGGAAAAAGGTAGTGCCCTGTCACTTGTAGAAGGGGCAGGTGCCATGACAGAGGCAGAAGATGGTCCATCATTTCTCAATTCATATCCAGAAACTTTGGTCTCACTGGTCCACCAGGAAGCCTTTGTGGGCAACATGTAGGATGCACTGTATCTAGAGCTATCGGGTTAATAATATCCCTTAGTTATTGTGGGCTGATCAGGTCTGCAATCTCCTGAATGAGTGTTTGGTGAAGGCTAAATAAAAAAAGGCAAATGGGATGATTTTAGGGCTCCAGGAGGATCAAAGCCCTCTCACAGAATTCAAGATTCTCTCAGGGCTAAGACCAAGACCTTCTCTGGGTCACCCGTATTTATTTAGTTATCAAAAGAAGGGAGGGGAGTACTCAAGAAGGGCAGAACCATTCAAGGATTTTTCCAAATAAGGTATTAAATTAATCCACTCAAGAAGGGTGGAACTACTCAAGGACTTCTCTAAATAAAGTATTAAATTAATCCAGTCAAGAATGAGATGCCTGTCGGGTATGGTGGTGCATGCCTATAATCCCAGCACTCGGGAGGCTGAGGCAGGAGGATCGTTGCAAGTTCGAGACCAGCCTGGGCTACAAAGTGAGCTCAAGGCCAGCCTGAACTGCATAGCAAGACCCTGTCTCAAAAAGACAAAAAAAAAAAAAAAAATGAGATGCCTGAGGCTGTAGACTTCATCCAGTTGTCTGATCCAGGTGTCCTTGGCTGTGATCTTGTCTTATCCTTTGAGGCTTTCTGGCTTCATCCACCACTACAGGTTTTAGTAAGGATTAGTGACTCACAGAGGTTCACTTTCTATGAGTCTGCCATTTCCAGATAAGGAGCCTAGGCCTTGGACAGGTTCACAAGTGAACATGAAAAACTAATTGATTAATTTAAGTCCTGCTCAGCTCTGCTTCATAGTGGTCTCCATCACAGAGCTTCTCTTTTTATGAGAGCGGGAGATATAGGAAACCTTGGTGACCTTTCCACCCGGGGGTTTGAGAGCTGTAATTTTCTTCAGTGTCCCTGCAGCCTTTGTATATTTTTTAAATTCAAAATGGATATAATTTTTATTTGGACTATTAATATTGTTTCTGGTGACCTTTGTTCTTTTCAAGATGGGGTACTTTTGCCTTTTTCATTATAACTTCTTTTGTTCTGAATTTTCACTTTCCTAGTTCCAAAATTTACCACACTGTACAATTACAGAGTCTTGGAGGAAACACAGACATTAGAATATATAATAACACTGACAATTGCTTTTAGAAAATGGTCTTTTAATGCTTGCTGCCACAATGTGCCTATATAGCACAAAGCACCTTCCCTAATTTATAGATAGAACACAGGGTCTTAGAAGGCCCAGGTAATATATTCATGGTAACGTATGTAGGCTTTGGGAAAGCCAGGATTTGAAATTCAGGTGGTTCAATGAAAGATTGTTGTCATAATCTTGAGCTGTCATACTTTTCAGGTTCAATGTTATCCCTCGTGCATCAACTGACCATTAGCTACCAGAAAACCCTGACTTGATTAGATGAATGCAGACTGCATTTTTTATCCTTACATAATCTAGGTTAAAAACTTGTGAGATTTTATTAATATATACACATAAATATCTCTTTCCAGCAACCTACACAGTACATATAATTATGTAGCTTTTCAGCCCAAGGTGATGCTCTTCAGAAAACAGAGAGAAGTTCCTCATTCTAAAATCTGTTATTGATACCTGAGAGAGGTATACCTGAAAATAACTATCAAGTCATAAGCAGACCCAAGATGGAGATAGGGCAAGTGGAAATGCCTATAATTCTTAATTCTTATCCATAATTCTTCATAAATAACCCATGTAATTCACTGGATCAGTGGAAGCCAGGAAGTTCCCACACCCATCCATGTAAGGAGACACTAGAGCACTGGTGAAATTGTCATTAAAAGTGAATTGACTCTTCCAGGCCATTCAGTCTTAACATTCACAAGGAAACACATTTCAAATATCTCTCTAACTGGTTTGTCAGTTCATCTCTGTGACTAATGTAGAGTTTCACAACCATAAGCCATATTTCAAAACTTACAAACTAGCTTGGAGCATTTAGTAGTAGGTGCTACGCTAAGCAATTTAGACATCAGCTAGAAAGGCAATGTCTCATATGTTTGCATTATACAGCGCAGGAAGGAAGCAGATATACAGGCAGCACAGACATTAAGCAAAAGTGCAAGAGACAAAATCCTAAGCTGATCTGTGATCTTCAAGCAGCAGTTAGCTGTGAAGGTAGCAATAGAAAAAGAGCAACCCAGGGGCACTGAACATATTCTTGTTTCAAGAGAAGCGGCAGTGTTAACAAATTTTGGGGGGAAGAAATAATTTAGTAAGGAGGACAGGATGCCAAATTGTGAAGGACAAGTACAGTTGTAGTTGATGTGCAAAGTTTATGTTATATGTAAAAAAGTAAACGATTTCTGTTTCAAAAGCTCACTTTGACTATAATATAGAATGACATGAGACAAGAAAAGGGCTGTATACCATTTATAAAGAAATTATACAACTTACAATGTGAGACATTAGGGAGCCTTGGTTTTCAAAATGTACCAAATGGAATTGAGAAAAATCACTAGACTTAACAAATATTAAAAGTTAGAATAAGTAATATGTGTCTTTGTTGGAGTCCACAAGACCAGGACCTGAAACAGAAATTTTTCTCTGATTCTTTCTGGGAGAGTGATCTCAAGAAAAATGGAAATTAAGAACAGGATAAGTAGGAGGAATAAAGAAATCAGCTTCAGTTGTACACCACCCATGTGCAAGACTGGGAAATAAATTTTTCCACAGATTTAGCCCCACCTGGAAGCATGAGGGCTTAACTTTTCTACTCTCCTACCTAACAACTTTGTGTCACCTGTGTCCAAGACTTATCACAGGGTTCAAGGAGAAGGGTAAGGTACACAATGGCCTCCCAAGAAGCAACTCCATTTAGCCAGGTATAATTTTTTGGAGAAGCTACAATGACTCTTCAGCTCACTCCTAATTTGAGACATACGTATGTCTGGCATGGTACAGAGGATCTGGGTGAAACACAAATAAACCCAGTAGTGTGACTTGATTGAGTAGGTGTGAAACGTGAAAAGGAAGGAGTCAGTGAAGCCGATGCTCTGAACCAAGGCTTAGAAATTGACTGTAGAATGTTGCTCTTAGCTATTGTCTAGCATAAAAATGGTCATATAGGGGCTGGGGATGTAGCTCAGCGGCGTAAGTGCTTGCCTGGAAAGCTTAAGGTCACAAGTTTGATTCCTGGTACCAAAAAAAAAAAAAAAATAGAGGTTAGTAGTATAAAGAAAACCTTTTTGGAAAGATGGTTCGATATATTAGAATGGAATTTATGTCCAAAGTGTAGTTGTCATTGTGCCCATGGCAGTGGAAGCAAGAAAAGAAGAGGGAAAGGGGCAAAGAATGAGATCAGGCGCCAGCTAGGAAAGTGTTCACTTATATATCTTAGAAATAGTTCTTTTCATTAAAGTCAACACAGAGAAAATGCACAGACAAGAAATGTATTATCTTTATTAATTTGTGTTTCTCAAAACATTTTCTTCCTTAGTCATATCCATGACATGAAAAGATGAGTTGGAGTAACCTCATCCAGAGAATAATTTTCCTCTCTCTTAGTGGACTTGGAAGTATTGGAAACATCCTTATATTCATAAAACATATACATGTTTTTGTTATGATTACTGAGAAAAGACCCATAGACTCTATCCTCATCCACTTGGCCTTTTCAAACACAATCATTATATGTAGCACAGGGATCAGAGGTACAACCACAATTTTTTATTTTAGAAACTTCCTAGGTAGTGTTGGATGTAAAATTGTGATTTATTTTGAAAGGGTGGCTCGTGGTCTTTCCATCTGTACCACCTGTCTCCTCAGTGTGGTCCAGGTGGTCACTATCAGTCCCAGGACCATCCTGTGGAGAAAGTTCAAACCACAGACTACAGGGCAAGTTCTTCTATGTCTCCTCCTATTTTGGATCTTTAATTTCCTAATAAGTTCTAACTTGCTCCACTACATCACAGCAGTCAGAAGCATGAATCAATCTGGGATTAGAATATATATTGGCCATTGTTATATGCTACCATCTAGGCAAATAGTTAGATGGATTTTCCTCTCTTTCATGGCTGTTCGGGATCTCATCTTCCAGAGTCTCATGGGCTGGAGCAGTGGGTACATGGCTATCCGTCTGTACAAACATCACAAGCGTGTTCTCTACCTGTATAGCTCTAGGTTTGCAAACAATTCCAGCCCTGAAATCAGAGCTACTCAAAGAATTCTCATTCTCATGATCTGCTTCCTTTACTTTTACTGGGCTGACTTCATTTTCTCCTTCTACATGGGATCTATCTTGCCAGATGGTTCCACAACATTAAATATTAAAATATTTTTAGTACTTGGTTATGCAGGTGTCAGCCCCTTTGTCCTGATGAGCAGGGCTGTCCATGTTGCTAAATACAGGAATGCACACTGAGAACTTCACTTCTATACCCATTCCTCCATAAACTAGAGGTATATATAGCAGGAATTTATCTGACCTAATGAGCTAATGTATCAGAGCATTATGATTGTAGTTATTCCACCATCCCTATCATGTGGATATTAGCTTCTTGCTTGCATAGGAGAAAATATTGGAGTTTATGTTGTTGTCAGTAATCTCCAAGTCAGATCTCTTAAGCAAAGCCCCAGGCAGTTACCCTCTCTTGTTATCTACCTCGTGTTTCCTCAAACAGAGTTCAAAGCTTATCACCTCCCGAAAATCACTTAAAAACTAAGTTTGTGCCAGGAGCCCCCAAGGAACCCTGAGCATTAGAGAAGTATGGGTGGAAAGGATTTCAGGCCAAATTTTTTACCTGAGGTCCACTTGCAAGACAAAGTGGGTGCGATGGGGAGACATTAACTCGAGGCAGCACAGGGAATTTGGTTGGTAGCTGTTTCCCACTGCTGAGTTCCAGAAGTGCTAAAGAAACAGGTAATAATAAATGCCCTGGGACTATCCCATCTGCATTAACATTGTGAAGCAGGGTCACAAGATACATAGAAAAGCGCATGGTGGGTTGAAGTTCTGCAATGTGCAGATGGTATTCCAGATGAGGCTGGAATCCACAAGCTCCCAAGCTGACCAGTTGCCCATGGTAGGAGGCATTTTCCACTTCCTGTGACTTAGTGCACAGCCTCCTCCCCAGGGACAGTGGCTCCTTGCTCAGGTCACAGTGGTCCAGGGACCCACATGCAGGATGGACATTTTTGCAATTTTAAAACTTACATTTAAATAATTTATAAAAAACATTTAATGGATCCAAATATCTTTTTTTAAAACAGAATCCAAATATCTTTTTATAAACCTTAAGAATCCAAGAGCACTAGAATTTACATTTAACAACTGATTATGCAGGTGCTACAAAGATTTATAATACATTTTAAAATTTACTTGTCTTTAAAAATAATTTTATGTAATCTATGGAAATAAATATATTAGACAAAAAACTAACACTTCGAGTATTTCTTGTCAAAGAAATTGCTAAAAAAGCTGTTGTGCTTGAAACTCAGAAATAAATGGAAATTGTATCTTTATTTTTTAATGAAAATAAATATTATCTTGATTGGCTAACAACTTAGGTAAAATGTATGTTAACAATTTTAAAGACATTTATTTTTCAGTATTTAATCCTACAAAGTAGTATCTTGATCTCTGCTGAGCTTGTTGGTCTCATTTCTTTCCCAAGAATTCATTTTCCTACTCACAGTTAGGGACAAGAAATTCTACATCTTCCATCCCCTTATCATGAGCTATTTTGGCCTATTATCACAATGCAACTCTTTCTCTTTCTTTCTCTCTCTTGTTCTTCCCTCTCCTTCTCACTCTCCCTCTTTCTATTTTCTTTATTTTTTCACCTCTCTCTTCCTAGATTTAGAGTTTTATAAAATTGATCTAAGGAAGAGCTGCATAGACATTCTTTCAATAACTTGAAACTAAATGCCCCTTCAGAATTCTGCTAAATATCAGAATAATGTCTTACATGAGGTAAAAATTTAAAAAGAAACTCCAGTAGGATTTAAAAATACCATAAATCCAAAAATACTCTTGCTTACAAGAGGAAAGAGGAAAGCAAAAGAAAAGTAAAAATCATAGGGAGTTGAGAAAAGCTAGGTGAAGGAGATGGAGTGATGAACTTAACACATAGGGCACATCCCAGGAAGACCATTGTGAGAATTCACATTGGACACCTCAACAAGGTGAACTCAGACCCACATGTTCAGAGTACAGTGCACTGGTCATCCATTACTTTCTCTACTCAGTTAAAAGTTTACAGCATCTTACTGCCTCTGAGTACCTCATTTCAGAAGTTATATAGACTTGAAACTCCTACAGAAGGATGCTGAGAAGATGTATTGGAGACCTCTTGAGATGCAGAGATGGCCATCTACAGAGGAATGAATAAGAAACTGGAGTGGAAAATTCATGTGGGGACAGAAGGTGAGCTTTCATAGCACTGGTGCACAAAAACATCATAACATCATCTGCTGCCTTCCTTCTTCAAAAAAAAAAAACAAACACAAAAAACCTTCCCTCACATGGAGGATGTGGCTGCCACATGTGACCTTCTAGAGTTTTCAGTCACTTTCTGGCTTTAGGTGAACCTGGCCCTTGCCTCTGTGGATTCACCATGCTGAGAGCTCCAGTTGCCCACAGGTAACACAGGCTCCCAAACACGTACTGCCACAGTCCACCTCAATGGAGCTAGAAAATTGGAATAAAGAGTCTGGAGAAGTAAGGCAGAATCTCAGCAGGAAAGTGATCAGTATCTACTCAGTGTTACTGCAATTCTTGAACACTGGGGGTGAAATCGCACAAAGAGGAACCTGTCATTCCTGGACTTTTATCCTGGGTCATCTGTGTTACAAGAAACATAAGTTTCAATTCCTCCCTCCAACACTCCCAACTCAAAAGAAGAACTGTGTGTCTGTCTCTAAGGATGGTTTGCTGAAGCACAGGTCCCATTCCTATCATTTGATTGTCCAAAGGATCTGGTGCTTAAACCCTTAAGAAAGTCTCCCTTAGGGAGCAAATGATCCTGGAAAAGGGGAGATTTTTTCAGCTCCTTCTAGAAGTTTCATAAGAATAAAACGCACAGATGAATGATCATGAGTAGCACTCAATTCTGATGAATTATAATGAGTAATAAATACCTGGGAAAAGCAGGTTCTATGAAAGCTGAGTCTCTGAAGGAAAGTTTTGGAGATGAAAAAAAGAGGGGCTGAGCACAGTGGTGGCAAACCCAGCACTATCCTGAGAGGTGGAAGAATCCCTGAGAGTCCTTGTTCTGTCATCAATCACCTCTCCGCAGGGTCACCATCTGCCTCATGATTGTTTCATTTTTTGTTTAGTTTTTATATAAATTTTCAAACAGAGTTTCAAAAATATTAAAGCACCAGTAATCTAATGGATTTCACTTCTTGCTGATATTTTATCTCATTTTCTTCACACGTGATAAAGCTCATTTTACTTGTGTATGTATGACTATTGATGTTTATATTTATATTGTATATAACTTTACCACTATATATATATATATATATATATGCATTTGTGTGTGTACACACTATCTCTCCCATCTATTCTTAGTTATTGAAGGTTAATGCTGTGCAGTTCATCATGGGTTTCATTATTTTGATCTCAGTGTTACCTTTCTTTATTGAGACTTTCTTCAAGATGACCTTGTGTGTAATTTGAGCCCAGACTGGCTATGTAGTGAGTTCAAGGTCATCCTGAACATATATTCATAGCAAGACCCTGTCTCAAAAAAAAAAAATGATCTTGAGACATGTGCTGATTGTTTCTGTGTCCTTGAGACATGTGCTGATTGTTTCTATGCTTTGCTTTCTTGTATATTTGGTTTGTTTCTAGCACTCCTTTACTTTCTGAGATGAGACTTCCAGAGGTATGCTGTGGTTATCCACCTCATATCTTGTATCAACTATTTCTCTAAGGATTCCTGGGTTCTTCTAGTGGCAAACAGTGCACACCCTGAAAACAATGAGAATGCTTATTCCTCTGATTGTAGTTAGTGTCCCTGCAAACCTGAAAAATACATGTACTTTATGGATGTAAACATGCACAGATCATATGTACATAGCCATAGATACACATATTCACCTATTTTTTAAATGTAACTTCACATTTATACCTCTAAATATAATCCTTCTCAATTGGTTGATCTTTTACCTTTTCTCCATTCCACATTATACATTTCTTCTTCCTTTGGGGACACTTGACTTCCTAGAAGTTGGGCACATTTGCTCATCTCTCCCATTATATAACATATCTAAAATTATTCCTGTGCTCTGTATGGCAGCACATGCCTGTAATCCCATTATTCAGAAGGCTGAGACAAGAGGATTGTCATGAGTTCGAGGCCAACTTGGGCTACATAGTGAGTTCAAGACCAGTCTGAACTGCGTATCAAGACACTGTCTGGAAAAAAAAAAAAAAACAATGAAATAAAATAAAATAATTCATGCTTTGTACACACCATGATAAAAAGAACTGTATATTTCATAAATAGCTGGTAATTTCACTTACCACCACTTGCCCAAGGCTGAGAGTGTATTTCAAATAAATTATGTTGCACTGTTTTTTATTTGATTCTCCTTCAAACTTTTAGCATATTGAAAAAAATCTAAATAACATTTTTAAACAGAACAAATCCATTTCTTTATGCTTTACCCTGAAATGTCCCAAACTACTAACTTCTCATGTCTCCCCAATTACTTTTTAGTCTCACTCTTCCCAGCATGACCTAGTCAGTATGACAATGGGGCATTGCAACACAACCAATTCAAGACTGGGTGTAGGCTGACAGAAATGAAGTCAGAGGTGATATAATGTACAAAATATGCACTATATTTTGCACATTTATGGAGTTAGTTTCACTGTGTCCATTTGTCAGAGTCTAATAAAGAGACTAAAAATATTCCAGTTGAGTAAGGTGAGTTTAATAAACAGAATTTTTAGATTATTTCAAGATTATTAACTAAGGGGGGCTGGGGATTTAGCTCAGCGGCAAAGCGCCTGCCTGGCAAGCGCAAGGTCGTGAGTTCAGTTCCTGGTATCGGAGAAAAACCAAAAAAAAAAAAAAAAGATTATTAACTAAGCAACCTAAGAAGAGATTCAAGAAGAGAACACAAGATATGACAGAGAGAGCAGGAGGCAGCCCTCCTGCCTCCTATAAGGCATCCCTGTAGGACTGAGGAAACAAAGAGCGAAAAGGATAGGGTTTAGATTTAAAATGTCCCTCAAGGGCCAGGGTTATCGCTTGGCAGCACAAGTGCCTGCCTGGCAAGTGCAAGATCCTGAGTTTGATTCCTGGTACCAAAAAAAAATTTTTAAATGTCCCTCAAAAAATCTCACATATTTAGAAGATGATTGGATCACTGAGACATTATAGTCATCAGTGGATTCATCCATTGATG